TCCGTTTAAAATTCTGCGCGACTTCCGCCCAAGTCGAAGAGCTTGGAGCACGCTGCAGAGTGCCTCTGAAGTTATCCGACTTGCGGCTGCCGATTGATAGACTGATCACCTATCAATCTTTCTTCCCATCGCCGAGCACAATCCCAGATGTACCCTTTTCCCGCCGGCTTCGAACTGCGGACGGATTAACTGGCTTGGGCCCCGCCAGCTGGAACAACTCGTGTGGTTGTTCAGACGACCGGACCACCTGCGTCGTGATTGCAAGCGGCGTGAGTAAAGTTTTTTGCAACCAATAAGTTGTCTCTGCCTCTTCATTCACCAGCCCGCCCTAACGTACGACCAATTTCTAACGTAACTCGAGTCGGCTCTGGCCGTCCGAGACACACTGAAACACCCTTGTGCCCGGGCCAGCTGCATCAGCATCTACACATGCATTGCTGTGAATGAAAAAACTCTACAGCAGGGTAATACTTGTATTTATTAGTTCCATGCACCCTAATAAGGGCACATGTGTACATGCTGAGATGTTTATCGCAGATCAAATTAGCTCCACAGTAAACGTCGTGTAGACATGCTCAGTCTGTTGTTAGAATCTTCTCTGCTGGTTCCCATATTCACCACTCCCTCAGCCCTTCCCCATTTCCATGAGCTAGGCCTCATATCTCCTCCTAGGCCTCTTATATTACTAGTACAGTAGCTTTTTATCTACCATTAATGCCTATTTGAACAAATCCTAGTTATCCCGCTTGACCTGTTACTTGCTTGTCAGCGTTCAAAAATCCCTTACTTTAAACAGAGGGCATTATTCGAATACCTTACCTATTTGAATCATATCACTTCATATTTATAGCAGCAAACTCATAACCTGTTTGAGTGGATGCTATAGTATCAAGATGCTACCTTTACAAATGTATGTGTATGTCATGAGGACTACAAAATAACCTGTATCTCTTTCTCTTCCTCACCTCCCAGTTGTGGACTTTGGTATCAATGAACATATTATAAATAGCAGCACTATCTGTGCTAACAACAATATTTCCCCACCCAGGCCAGGATTCACAAAATCATCCCTTTTCAGGAGGAGAACTTAAGTACGTTCAGTTTTTAATACATCCCAGAGTGTCACTGAATGTAAGCGAATATTCAAGTACAATCATGAAACAGCTTTCATTTCCTATTTTTTAAGTAAAACTCGTACTTAAATCAAGTAGCCATCTGAGGTTGTGGCTGTTTCTGTAGGACAGACTTAACTAAAATCTAAATGCTTTTTCTTTGACAGCATATTTGGCAGTGGTCATTTCAGCCTGCATCTTGAACTTTCACAGAGCCCTGCCACTCTTTGTACTTACAATTGTAGCCATCTTTTTCATCTGCTGGGATTACTTAATGGCTAAATACGAAGATAAAATTTCTGCATTCTTTGCCCCTTGTAGACAATTCCTGAAAAGATGGTGGTTCTGCCTGAAATGGTAAATACAACTGCCTTATTTCTTAATTAGCTTTTTATAAGGGTTATGTTTTCACTGGTACTGTATTTTTAAACCATTTTATTCTTTTCACTGGGACTGAAGGCAAATACAGTTTGATAAACACCTCAAATGACTCCTTCTCCGATGTTAGATTATTGCTATTCAAGCTATTACACAGTACATAGGAAGTTATATAAAAATGAATACATTGTTGGAGGCTGATGTGTTAACTTGCTCTAGTATTTACATAGCTCCACAACTGTAGAATCTAAACATAAAGAGAGTCTTTACATATACTCCGGGGATGGAGGAGGAGGCACTTTAATTAGAGCGGCTCTGAGAGCCACTCTAATTAAATCAACCGCAGCATCACGTTCGTTTATGCAGTGCATGCATTCATTCATCACGTGCATTCAGCATCCCACACTTAAAATGGTGGTTGGGGTGCTTTAACTAAATCTCATTTTAGGGGGCTGGGGGACATGACTTCTGAGGAGAGGCTGAGGGAACTGGGTTTATATAGTCTAAAAAAGACAAGACTGAGAGGGAATTGAATATCCTTCAACTACCTGAAGAGTGGTTCCAAAGGATGGAGTTAAACTGTTCTCAGCAGTGGCAGATGGCAGAACAAGGAGCAAGTCTCAAGTTGCAGCGAGGGACACTTAAGTTAGATAGTAGAGAGAACTTTCTTACTAGGAGGGTAGTAAAACTCTAGAACCACCCACAGAGGTTGTGGAATCTCCATCCCTGGAGGTTTTTAAGACCTGGCTAGACAAAGCCTTGGGTGGGGTAATCTAGTTGGGGATGGTCTAGCCTTGAGCATGGGGTTGGACTAGATGACCTCCTGAGCTAAGTACAGACATTCAAAAAGCCCAAGCCTGAATTGATTCAAATTTTGCAGGTTAGTCTAACCTGCAAAGATTGAACCAAGAAGCAAGTGAATAGCCATTCACTTTTGATTCCAGAAATGCAGCCACATGCCTGCAGTGGCTCGAGCTAAAAGCCAAGGGGGTGCTAGAGAGAACCTTCCCTTTGGCAGTGGCCAGAAGGCTGAAGGGAAGCTGAGCGGAGGGGGGGCTGGGGATGTGGCCCGGCAGGCCACACTGAGTATGATTGGGGAGAGATTTAAACCCCCACCCTAGTCTGCATGGTCCTCAGCTGGGGTGTGCCTGCAGGAGGAAGGGGAAAGCAGCCCTTGCTAGGTTTGTTCCTGAGTGGCAGTAGGCATGTTCAGACACTGGCTAGGGCAGTGCCTCAGGCAAAAGGGGGGAGGGAGGCAAATTAAATCCCCCTGCCTCTCCTCTCCCACCAGCACAGGACCCTAGCCGGGGTCTGCTCGGCTTTCCCCACCAGCAGCCAGCAGGGGAGAAAGCCAGGCAGACCCTGGCTGGGGTCCCTGTGCCAGTGGGAGAAGGGGGAGGCAAGGTGACTTAATCCCTCTCCCCCACTTTTGCCTGAGGCTGCTGCATGGGCCAGCTCTGGCCATCCCCCCTACCGCTGGAGTGGTCAACCAGGAGGGAAAGCTGGGCAGACCTCTGCCGGGGTCCCATGCTGGTTGGAGAGGGGGGACAGGGGGTTTAATCCCCCTCCCCCTCCTCCTCCTCCTGTGCCTGCTGTCCCATGCCCCTGCCCCGTCCACTTCAGTGGGGAAAGTCTGGCAGGGGCTGCTCCATCCCTGCCAGACAGACTGGGATTCATCCCCAGCTTGGTTTCCCACCCCCACCCCTTTGTCAGCCAGCCCTCACTGCTCTGGCTAGAGAGCAGAGGGGCAGGGCCAACTCTGCTTTGCTCAAGCTGACAGCACAGCCTTTCCCAGGGCTGCAAATCATCCTGGGATGCTGCGGGACTGTGATTTAACTTGAACCAGGAAGGGGTCTAGGACAGAAGTTCCATAAACAGGTTTGACCTAAATCAGTTAAGTCTGATACTACATTCAACCAGGTTTATCATAAACCAGTTTCAGCCATTTTGAAACTGGTTTATATGCACTGAACTTCTGTTCTGTTACAGGTGTAAACCAGTTTCTGATCACTTAAACCAATTTATGTGTAACTTCTGTCCCTAGCCCTGAGGTTCCTTCCAACCCTAATTTCTATGATTCATTTGATAAGCTTTAGTTAAAGTGCCCCTGCCACCATTTTGAAGCACAGGGATCCTGAATACACAGGACCTGGAGGCTGCTGGAGCATGCTAATTAGCATGTTCCAGCAGACTCGATTAATCGAGTTACTTGAGTTTAATTACACATAAACTGGAATAAGTGGTTGGAAACTGGTACAAATCTCTAATACAACATAAGTTCAGTGCACATATACTGCTTTCAAAATGGCCAACACCAGTTTAAGATAAATCTGGATGGATGCAGTATCAGACTTAACTGATTTAGGTTAACTCAGTTTATTGAACTTCTGTCCCAGATGCCCTCCAGATTCAAATTAACTCACAGTCCCCCAGCATCTCAGAATGCTTTGCACCTTCCCCTGCAAACTTCACCCCCCTCATGGGGTGGGTGGGCTAGCTTTGGTCCAAGCTATTTGTTCCAGCCAACCAGGGAGGCGCTTTCTAGTGCCCCCCCAGCTTCTGGCTGGGGCCACTGCAGGCATATGGCTGCATTTCCAGAATCAAAAGTGAATGTCTGTTCATTTGCTTATCAATTTAGTCTATGCAGCATAGACTAACCTGCGAAAATTGAATCAATTCAACGGTGGGCTTTTTGACCATTTGCACTTTAGAGTAAGAGTTCCCAGGAATTTCCAAGTCCTACAAATGGACAAACTGTCTTGCCTGTGAAGCAGTTCACCCTTTTTCCATTTAAAAATCATTTCCAAGATGAGTTATTGTACTTATTCAAAAGTATTTTTGAAGAGCAATTTTACCTCTTCCTCCTCTTTCCTTCATGTGTTCATATGTGGCATGGTGGAATTTAGTCACCTTAGCCACAAATGAGCAGTCCACAAAAGTGCTACCTAACCATCTAGACAACTAGATGGCCAAAGGCCCCCAAGTTTTTGCCACAAAACTTACTTAGGTACCCATAATTCTGCTACTGTACTTGCCCAGAATTGTTGCCAATTTGGCTGAGTTGAGCACCTTGGCCCTTATCTCACACTAAGTCTGTTTGGGATTCACCCACTAAATGACCCGGCACTTAAGCTTTTTAAGGCAGATAATCCAGGAGGTGGTCATAGAGTACACCTTACACAAACCAACAACACTGAGTTCTGCACAAAACACAGGAGGCCTGGCCACTTCTATTTGAAAAGTTAGTCAGAGGGGGAAGAGGTTGCTGTGTCCACTTTGTACATAATATCTTAGAGGACTCACCCAAGTGGGAGTTAAAGACCTTCCTCAAACTCAGGAGATTCAAGCCTACACCACCCATTTCCTGAAAGAGTGCCCTAACCCCCAGGCATTAGACAAGCCTCAGTTGGAGGCACTTCCTTCTCTCTCAGGTGTGCTGTGAGGAAAATTTAATTACAGGATTGGGAACTGCACAAATATGACATTAATGGTGACCTGCTAAGTACAGTTTCATAGTAGGAGAAGAGAGAGAAATTCATATGACTACGTACTATTTTTAAATGCATCAGAACTAGCCCAAATCTGGGGGAATGGAGATTCATTTTTATTGATTTTTTTCCCCCTAAAAATAGACAAAAGTACAAAAAAATTAATGACCGTTTTTCTGTGTCCCCAATTACCTCGTGCCTTACCGAATTTCCAATAAGTTGATGCAATTTTATACTTTTGTAAAGCTGTAAAATGTTACAGCACCATTGAAAATATGTTAGTATTGGTGTTACAGTAACAAAACAGAAGACATACTAACAGGGGAAAGAGGGAAGGGCAAAGGAAGGTAAAGAAAAACACTGAAAATTTGACAAAATATTTTAAGGGAAACAAAAACTGTAAAAAATATCACAGTACTTTCCATCCATTTTAGGGGAGTGTTTGTAGATGGATTCTGGTGATAGTAGCTAGTAGATTTTATTATTGTCATGTCTCACCAGAGTCATGTTATCTGAAGGAAGTCAACTGTTATTCTGAAGGATGTATAATTAAGAGTTTGGCATGGGATGGGCATATCTCACATAAATATGAAAAAGTAATATGAATTGGTGTATCTGGTTATTATTTTTTAGCAGAGTTTTGTTATAACATTACAGCTATCATGTTTCCTTGCTGTTAGGCTGCTTGGCATAGTTCTTATTGCAGCTGTCATCTGTTGGCTCATATTTGACACAGCAAAACAAGGAACCAATCAGCTCATCTCATTTGGTGGACTTGTGATGTATGTTCTCTTGATGCTAATCTTTTCCAAATACCCAACCAGAGTAAGTACTCAATGATTTCCTTTCACCTTGTCTAGATATCAAGAATTTTCTTTTAGGAGATCTGAACAGTCTAACCAGGTCTGCTGCATACACATATAATGAACTAAATCAGTGATTCTCAACTGGGGTGGCACATGGGCCATACAATATGAGTACTATTAGGTGTGCAAACACCAACACATGATTCACAAGATAAACCCAGAGGCTGACTATACATGTACTTGGAAGTGGGGTGGGAGCCATTTTAATTAGAGTGGTTCCTGAACAGCCGCTATCATTAAAAACGGCTCACTGTTACATATATTAAGCCCTTCCTGCATTTCAAAATGGCCAAGGGGGCACTTTAAATCTCATTCAACAAGCTTCAGTTAAAGAGCCCCCATGGACATTTTGAAATATGGGGAGGGCTTAATGCACACGATGTTGAGGCGACGCTGGAGTGTTCTAATTGGAACATGGAGCAGACATGATTAATTGAGTCTGCTCCAACCCGTAGTAATTAGAATGTTAATAGGCATGTCTATAGGCAGCCATAGATTTCAAATGGGGGGAAAAAATGTTAAAAACGTTTGACCTGTTGTGGTCTTTCTGAGTTCTTTGCAACAGAAAATTTACTTTATTAGTTTTCTGTAGTCAAAAAATGAGTGAAAACTAAGAGTTGGTGTTTTCTGAGAGGGGTCTTGAGTCTAATGAGGGATGCTAGAGTCCAAAAAGGTTGAGAACCACTGATCTAAATGTTCTAAACCAGCAGCTGTAGGTTTTGTACCATCAACCTTAATTTCCTAACTATTGAGTGTTTGACTTTTCAGCAATAATATTCTTTTTAAAAAACAGGGGGAGGAGGAGGGAAAGGGGAATTTGGGATCTGTTCTTTTTGTTTTTTATTTTGCGTTTATGAAGAAATGTAGAGAAATACTTAGGGCCATGTGCATGAATGAAGAAGAACCCTGCACACTGTCACTTAAAAAAACCCCATAATCAATATCCTGACATCCAGCAATCATGATAGGCTTGTTTTTATAACCTCTGCTTATATGGACTGATATTTACTCCTGCTCTTCATTCAACTGAAGTCAATGAATATTTCATAAAGTCCATGAAAATGCCTGCACACAGTAAGAATTACTCGGTCTGAATTAAAAAAGGACGAGGGTGGGTTGAAGAATCTTGTGTAGGGGAGGAAAAAGAAAATCCAAGGTTTTTCTGGTTTTATTTCCAGCATCTTTCAGGTCCTCCTTCATCTCTGTTAATTTGAACTAAAAGTCACTGAACAAGACAAGACTCAAAGCTTCAGGGAGCTGGAGACAACAGCAAATTACCCTTTTCCAGCCTGTTTGTATACTCTTTGCCAGGGAATATTATTGGACAGATGTGATAAAATCCTTTTAATGATTTCAGTGTCTCCTAAAAATTTAAAAGCAACAGGGTGCAGCCTGAAGTCCTTATTCAGCTTATATTCGGGTCTCAATCAGGCAAAGCTCCTGTAGAAATGGGCCTAAAATAATGGTCCTATTTAGGGACGGAGTACAGAATGAATTTAAGCCTTAGGAATTGACCTGACACTGTTTTTCCAGCAAGCAGGTTCCAAGTATATAAGGGCACCTGGTAGCAATCACTTCAGGGAGGAACTTGTGAGAACACACAGTTCCAGCTCGGGGGCTTGCAGAAGAGGCAAGAAGAACATAGGATGGAAAGGCAGAGGCATACCTGGAAAGGTTTGCACCCTGGGTAACTGCAGGCTTTGGCTGATATGAAGGACCTCCAAGGTAGGGGGCTTGAGGGTCCTGGCAGGTATGAGCTCAGCTTTGTGGAATAAAGGTAGGAGCCAGGGGTTGAGGCAAGGGGCTCAAGTTTCCTGGCAGCTCAGTACAGAGCAGGGAAAGGTGTCCCCCAGCCAAGGAGTTAAGCTTCTTGCTTGCCATCCCCGGCACTTGCAGCCAAATCACATGCTGAGCAACAATATAAAACTCTTAGTTCAATTGTATCTGAAATGTAGGGCAGGCACACAGCTGGACCCCATAGCTGCCAGAAGCCTTGACCCCTTCTGCCTCCACCCCTCGGCTCCATGCCCCATTCTGTGCAGCAAAACCCTATAGGTGCTAGAGCAGGGGTAGGCAAAATGTGGCCCATGGGCCAGATGCAGCCCGCCAGGCCATTCTATCCGGCCCGTGGGGCCCCTAAAAAATTTAGAGAATGTATATGTATCTGCCCCTGGCTGCCTGTCATGCAGCCCTCGGTGGTTTTGCTAAACTCAGCCCAAAATAGTTGCCCACACCTGTGCTAGAGCCTAAAGCCCCTCTGTGTGCATTCTGGCACCCTCCTGCCTCTGTCCCAGTGCCCAGGGCTTGTGCCGCCCTCATTCATTCCTAGTTATACTACTGCTGAAAGGGACCTCCTCAACCATCAAATCTAGTCCCTTGTGTTTGCAAAGAATCATTTGTTCAAAAGGATCAAGAAAGCCATCTACTCCAGCCCCTCTCACATGTCATAGCCACAAAGCACCCTATAAGAAAGCCCTACAATATACCATAGATAAAGAGCAAGGGATGGCGAAGTACTGCCAATGCCTCGCCACATGCAGGAAATTACTTAGGTTAAGCTCTGTCCAGATGATCTAAAGAAAAGGACCAAGTCCCGCACTAAAAAGAAAAGCAAGAAAAACCCCCAATAATCCTTGCCAGTCTGACCTATTCCTATGCCCGAATTTGGCAGTAAACTTGATTATATATGCATGAGTTGCACCCACCAGAAAGGCACCTTAGAAGTTTCAAAGTACCATCAAGCCAAACATCCACCCCTGCCTGTCCTGAGCTTTAGAAGACAGCAAGAAAAATACCCAGAAGCTACCAATGAAATCATGGTGGAGGAGAAATAATCTTCTTAGCACATACAGGAAACTAGTTGATGATGTCTTTCAATACATGCTACCTCCCCCATCACTGTGTTTTTTAAATAGACATGATTGTTTGTTTTCCAAGGAAATGCATTCAGTACATTGTAGTAATTTTATTAAAAGGTTATGCTCTGCTTGCCAGAGAAACCAGCTCAATGTTTAATGTTGCTTTTGTGCCTAGTTCTGGTGTTTTTATTGAAATCACATGGTAATCCCCTAACACAAGGGGTTTTCAACCTTTCTTAATAAGTGTACCCCAAGTGGCCAGATGCAGAGCAGTGGGGTGAGGAGGGGGTGGTGCATCGGCCGGATGCGGAGCGGCAGCATCGTGGGGTGGCAGCAGCCACATGCGAGATTCCCCTCACCCCCGAGTCTGGCCAGCCAGGCAGGGGCACTGCTGCCCTCATGTCCCATCCCGTCCCCGCCCCTCCCCCAAGCCCTGCTTCTGGGAGGCAGCGGCACAGGGTGGTGCATCATCCCCGCTTGCCCACGTGTACCCTCTAGTGCCTTCCCGCGTACCCCTGGGGGTACACGTACCCCCTGTAGACAACCCCTGCCCTAACAGGTTTAAAAGGTTTCACAAAGTTCCTTTAACACATCTATGCAGGGGCTTTTCACAGTAGCAAGGAAAGAAAAGCACAGAACAGTTCCATAAGGATCCTAATTCTCTCAAACTGTCCTCCTGACAACACCTTCCATTCCCAAGTACCAACTGCATTCACTTTTCTTTCATAATTCTTTGTGAGCACTATTATCAAAAAAACAAACTGAAAACTAAAAAATGCCACTCATCTAGCGTTCTCCCTTGGGTCTTCACTGAGCTTAATTGGCCAATTTTATTCAAGTAAAGTGAGAGAAAATCAGCAAGGCTGCACCTCACCTTACATTCCCTTGTAAACTGATCAGATTTACCACTTACAGACTGGGACAGCAAAGTGGAAACCTGCGGCTTGGCAGAAGGGGAGATGGTTATAGTCAGCCACTCCAGTTTCCAGCTGGAATGAAAATAAAGAATGTTTTTGTATTATAATAGTCACAATATTTAACACTCATGCAGGCCTTCTTACCTGAAGTATGGTTCTGCCTGCTTGACAAGTAAGGAAACGGATATTGTAAGCTGAAATGACTTACTAGGTCATACAATGAGACAATAGCACAATCCCTGTGTTCCCAACCTACTGCTCTGTCCAACTTCTATGAACAAGGCTCATGTTATATTAAAAGCTAGTGATATGTAATCATTCCTGTGAGGAAAGATTCCGTGATGGAATTAGCTATAGTTGTCTCCTGTATTTATATCACGGTTACTTCTCTGCACTGTAAAACAAGACAGGCAGTCTCCTGTCTTACTGATGTTCTTGGTGTGCGTTTCTAAGGGTCCCCAATGCAACTTTCTTTCTGTACCTTAGGTCTGGGTGGAACATCATGTCTGCGACTTGTTAGTTCACATGCCCATACTAAACAGAAGGGCATCAGGGGGAATTAAAAGGAATGAAATCTCTTTCCACATTATTTGGGCAGTCCCTGATCTATTTCAATACAATTACGTGTATCCCTTTATTATACATATTGTGTGTATATTAAAATACTGTTTTTTCTTTTTCCTCTCTAATGATTTCTGCTTTTATACTTTTTTTCTTTGACTAGGTTGCCTGGAGACCTGTATTTTCAGGCATAGTCATGCAGTTTGTTCTTGGGCTTATTACGCTAAGGACTAAAGCAGGTTTCGAAGTATTTAATTGGCTGGGCAAGCAGATACAGGTAAAGTATTCACCAAAGAGGGAGTCTTTCCTTTTTTATCATTTTCTGCAATGGAGTTTTATGTTACAATGAAAGTAAACCACACAATAACAGGCTTGTCCTCCTCCTGCCCCTAAATAGTGTGCTTCCCTTGTCATGAGAAGTAGTTTTATGTTCTAACAACCCAGGGCCCCAAAAAATCAGTGCAAGTTTTGCCAATTGGTTCCTTAATATCTTGATTTCCCAAGGGAAGCAGAGTACTCCTGGAGATAACTTACTTGATGATCAGATCTAGGTCACATCAGATCACATCTTTGCTTACTGGCTTCAGATGAGCATGTTGTTAAGTGCTGAAGGTAAGACCTAATAAGAAATGGTGAGAATTCTTTCTACTTTTGGTTGACCATCACCTCCTTTAGGCTGAAACCACAGCCCACCTGATCTCCAGGCAAGAGAAAATTATCATCCTGGTCTATTAGCAAGTTCAACTGGACATGGTGCAATTCTGAAACATACTTACAGGAAACTCCCCTAAAATATCAGGGAACAGAAGATTTAGACAGACACAATAACTGTAGCCACTGTCATTCTGGCATAGATGTCTACAGTCCTCACCCATATGGATTTCCATGGTTCTCAGAGACAACAATAAAATGCAAGCATTGGTGGAAAGAAGGCAAAACTGTACAAGAAAGGACCTGCCCACAGAGAGAACCAGGACTCTGTGCCATTGCTGAAGTGGAGGCTGCATCCCTAGGGCCAACCTGCAAGCCAACAAAAACCATCTGTTCATGAAGGGTAATAATCGGGAGGAAGTTGAAAGTTGGGTAAAGTGGTACAGTGAAGGAAATTCACAGTTTTGACACAAGGGCACTCACCTGACAGCTCTTAAAATGTGCAGGTGACCAATTTAAATGTATAAAAATAAACTGCAACATAAAAAGGATTTTAAAATTATAATGGGCCTACGCTGTGGCCATGAAGCTAATGGTTTTAACACAAACTATCAGCTTTTCCTCAGAGCTCAGATTTGGGTTGAGGCTGTGCTGAGCTTATTCTTCACTGGTTTCCACATGGCACATGACCATTCTTTTGGGAAATGCTTGTTTAGCCCTCAGGTTTCACCGTACATATCAATAACATATTGCTCAGAGTTGCACTACAGAGTTGTGCCAACAACAGCATAGGAATGCACCACAATAGCATCTTTGGAGCAATGAAAAATAAACAGTTCCTATGGGATTGTGCGTGACCTTTAGCTACGTTCATAGGCAGGGAGTGCTGCTTACTACATATTGTCCATTTCCCAGTTCTGAGTCCCCAGGTTTATTTAGTACAAATAATAATCATAATGAATGTATGGCAGTGTGGTTCTGCCCCACACCAAAGGAAGCTTTGGAGCGATGCACCATATGTCCCTTTCCACAACTGGCAAACACAATGATCTGGCACTGAAGCATGACCCGTGACCATGCTCTTTACCTGCCTACTATGACGCAATGAGGATGCAGGCCGCAGATCCCAGACTCCCCTAAACAGGGGGACTGCAGTCGAGTTTGACACTGGCATGGATGCAGAACAGAAAGACGCTTTGCAACTCCCCACTATCAACTGCAATCTTACCCATTATGATTATAAAATCTGTATAATATATGAATAGTATTATTATTATTATTATCAGCTGTTTGAAACAGGCTTTGTTTTTTTCTCGTTAGGCTTTCCTGGGATACTCTGATGCTGGTGCGGAATTTGTTTTTGGTAAAAAATACGTGGATCACTTCTTTGCCTTTAAGGTAAACAGCCATTATATATGTTGTGCATATGACACATTAATCACAGCATCGAGGCACAGTTCCATCAAAAGGTGTGTTCTCTGTTTGTTTAGCCACACACCCTTGTTTGTTTGTGCAACCACAAGGTGTCCAGGAAACAATTTTGACAATAAGATTATGACTCATTCTGTGACAAAAGTGCAGGAACCCCCCAATTAAAATGTTTGCTTAATGTCCTGCTTTAAATCAATTTAATCCAGCTGTTGCAATCCATTAGGATTAGGGGCAAATTCTCTAAAAGGAGACATAACAAACTATAAGGGCCTCACCTAGTTGCTCACAAGCAGATTAATTTCTGTCAGGACTATTGCTTAGATACTACTGAGATAGATGACTTATAAATACTACAGATTGGTAGAGAGAATAACAATAAGGCAGGACCAGCCACTAAATTCCAGTTAGGTTTCCCAATTCTATAAGAAGATCTGTAAAAGTAGCTGCTTGGGGAAGGAAGTGAGAGACATGCTTTTCACTTCTTTCCAAATCAAAGTGAGTCAGGTCATGCCAATGGTGCTTCACTTCCATGAAAAGGCAGACAGCTAGGCAAGGAGTATTAACCCTCCATTTTCCTGAAAAGATATGCTAGGAAAATTGGTCATGATTACAGTCTACTTGGTTCAAGAGACAGAGAGTTCTAGTATCTTTCCAACCTCTTATCTATTCTGTCTCTAGGATTGAGGTGAATGATAACCCAGAAGGGTGTTTCACATTTAGCTTTCCAGATAAACAAGACTGGCCCTATTTTTTTAGCAAGCAGAGCAATCTGGCTGCATCTACGTATGCACTTAACTGCAGAATAAACTAATTAGCTGCTGAATAAAGCATCACCGTCTACACAAGCAACACTGTTAGCCTGCAGTAAACTAATGCTGCCATAAGATACTGCTGTCAGGGACAGTACTATCTTACAGTGGCGTTATTAACTGCAATCAAATGCACATGTAAACACTGACCACAGGTGTAAATTTCTCCCAGCCAGCAGGGGCAGACTTCTGTCTGCTGCCTAGACAGATGGCTCTGCACTTCCAGCATCCTTGTGCCCCAGCCAGTCCCAAAGCCCCCCCCTGGAGCCCGGGGCTGCCCCCAGCTGCCCCACTCCCCATACCCTCAACCCTGGCATAAACTGCTCTGCCCTGGCTCAGATTGCTGCTGTCCTGGCTGCATGTGTAGATGCTGTGCTCAGGAGTAGCTTACTCTGGCTCAAACTGCTCTGGAGTTTATTGCTTCAAATTAATTGCATGTGTAGATGCACCCCACCCCTGAGTAACACAGCTCAGCAAAAGGAACACTGTGTTTTGCTGACTTGTCCTAATAAATAATCCTCCTGCCTTCTAAGAGGCACAGAGTACTCATTCATAAGCAGTCAACAACCTTGATGTCCATGCATGTCAAACAGGTTATTACTAAAGAGAGTCAGGAATAAATATAAGCAAAAATAATAGATTTTCAGCAAAAGAACAAAAATGAGGGTTTTTTTTCAAATTTCTTTTGCTATCCAATCCTCACTGTCAGTCACTTAAGAGTTTGTGTACATGGGACAATACAATGCTAAGTGAAAATACCCAAGCTATCTCTTAATGAGCTGGCTTGCATACTGGAAGCAGTACAGCTGAGACAGCATGGCAGTCCTTCCAGACTAATTGGCCACACTCAGTTCCATCCTAATTTCCAACTGATTTAGGAAATAAATCACCTTGAACACCAGATATCCCCTAGGTATACAGATTAGCACATGCCAACAAGGTCCACTACACACATGGCCAGGATTGTTTGAAGATGTGAATTTGAGTATATATTTTCTAGTCACAGTCACTGCATACATAGAATTAACTTTGTCTAAAATAGGTACCTAATCTGTTTCTCCAAAATAGTGTAACTGGGCAGTCTGTCCCTTTAAGAGAGCCCAATTACAGGGCTTTTGGATGAATAGAGAGTATGCCGCTAGGAGCTTTAAAAAGCTCCTAGAAGAGCAAGCAAGGGAGAAGGAAGTGAACTGCGAGCAGAACAGTTTGCTATATGGAGGGTCCACTCTGATGTGCTGGGATCAGAGCCAAAAGGTCCCAGTGCCTGGGACAGGGCAAAAAAAAAGGTTCAGTTTATTTATTTGCTTGTTTGTTAGTTAGGACTGTTTTATTTGGGAGAACTAGCTGAGGAGGTCCACAGAGGGTAAAACCTGCCTGCAGAAGCCAGCAGGCTAGGCAACCTGCTTATAAAACAGGTACAGGCAAAAGCTGTTATTAGTTTTGCACCAAAAAAAATCATATTTACATGCACAAAATGCTACTGCAAGTTTTTGTGCACACATGCATCTTTCAAGTATAATATAGACCCTATTTTTGAAAGTGCAGCCTAGCAAATCAAGATCTGATTTGATTAAAATATTTACTCATACAAAACAGAGATGTTATATACAGGTCATCTCTACTTGACCTTTTAGCAACTCCAGGAAGTTGGAAGATTCCACCATAATACCTCTTGGCAGGAGTAAAGACTGATCCGCCAAAACTCACTGGTTGGTATTGACTCTTCTATGCTGTTAACATAAAAGGGCAAGACTTACTGTTGGCAGTTAGGTTATTAGATTTTGATTGCTTTGGCCACTTGCAGGAAGTTGATATTACCCTGAGGTCAAAGGACGCATTTGAATGCTTGAGACTGAATCCCTTTAAAATTCTCCAAAGCTAGCTTTAAATGTCACCCTTCTGCTTCTTACTGCAAAGGCCAGTCACAAAAGATGCTGAGCATCTTCACAATCACAATTTTCATAGGACTGTTGAGTGTTCACCAGCAAAGAACCATACCCTTCGCACAGTGTATTAAATTTCTGTAGAGTTAAACGACATGTCAGTAGGTCCAAAGATTATTTCGCATACCTATTAGCATGAATTAATGGATGTGTAACACCCTGGCTAATCAAAAGTACGTAAAGGCATAACATGTGCCGATAGTTCTGTTTTCTTTGGGATTTTTCTTTGCTCTCCCCTACCTTGGGGGTCTTTAAGAGGAGGCTAGACATGCACCTGGCTGGGGTTGTCTGACCCCAGTGTTCTTTCCTGCCCAGGGCAGGGACTTGGACTCAATGATCAGCTAAGATCCCTTCCAACCCAAACATCTATGAATCTATGAATTTTATTACTCTGCTAGCAATGAATGTAGCATTTGTAGCTCATGGACATGACATCTATAAATGACTTTTTGATGCTTCTGGCTTTTTCATTTAATGTTCAGGGCCTTTATCTTAATATATTTATCCATTACTTAGTGCTTGTCTACATGACGAAGTGACCCTGGCATAAGGGAGCATATGCTCCCTCTGAGCATATGCTGACCCTCTCCCTTTCATAGTTTCATAGTTGGTAGGGTTGGAAGGGACCTGAGTAGATCATCAAGTCCGACCCCGTGCCATGACAGGAAAGAGTACTGGGGTCAAACGACCCCAGCAAGGTGTTCATCCAGCCTCCTCTTAAAGACCCCCAGGGTAGGAGCCAGCACCACTTCGCTTGGAAGTTGGTTCCAGATCCTAGCCACCCTGACAGTGAAGTAGTGCCTCCTGATATCTAGCCTGAATCTACCCTCTGCTAGCTTGTGACCATTATTTCTTGTCACTCCTGGGAGTGCTTGGGGGAACAGGGACTCCCCCAATGCCTGCTGGTCCCCCCTGAATAGTTTGTAAACAGCCACTAGATCCCCCCTCAGCCTTCTCTTGTGGAGGCTGAACAGGTTCAGGTCCCTCAGCCTCTCCTCGTAGGGCCTGCCCTGCTGCCCCTGATCATGCGAGTGGCCCTCTTCTGGACTCTCTCCATGTTGTCCACATCCCTCCTGAAGTGCAGCACCCAGAACTGGATGCAGTACTCCAACTGTGGCCTGACCAGTGCTGCATAGAGAGGGAGGATCACCTCCTTGGACCTGCTTGAGATGCATCTGTGGATGCATGACAAGGTGCAGTTGTCCTTCCTGACCGCTTCCCCGCACTGTCGGCCCATGTTCATTTTGGCATCAATAATGACTCCAAGATCCTTTTCTGCCTCTGCACTGACAAGAAGAGAGTTCCCCAGCCTGTAGGTATGCTGCTGGTTCTTCCTCCCCAGGTGCAGTACCTTGAATACCAGAATACGCTCCCCTAGGACAATCTTATTCTGATACAATAGTGTCCACACAGGGAATTGTACCAGGACAGCTAGAATATTTTGAATATTTAACTAATGAAATGTTCCCTCATAGAGGCTAGCCTTAACTCACCTGGGCATTAGTGTATTGTATCAAAATAAGTACATGTAAATGGAGGGTGCAGTTTAGAATGAGTTTTGGCTTTCTTTCTGACCTCTTCTTTCATAGATGCTCATACATTTTGAATGCCCTTTGCATTGGCCGTTTCCATTAACAGTCTCATCCTAAACGTGGTGAATGCATGTGCCGGTGTATGTAGTTTGGACAACACTGATTAAACTCTTCAGTTAGTATGTTAGAAAAATCTCTCCTATCCATCCTTTAGATAGCCAGAATCAGTATCACAAATGAGCAGTGCACAGGACGTAGAGATTCCTGAAGAGTTCAGAGTGGGAAAACCAAAATGTTTAGTGTCCATCCTGCTTTCCCCCCCCCCCCCCCCCCCCCCCACTTCCTCTTTGGTGCAGTTGCTTGCAGTCTCTGAAAAACAGAGTGGCCCTTTGACCTTTTATTTTTAAATGCATTCCACAATCTAACTCACCCAACAAAAGAAATTCCCAGTTGAGCTAATGTTGAGGCCGAGCTTTCCTTTTTGTGCATAGATTTTTTTCTACATAAATCATGCATGCATCCACTCCCTGTTTAGAGTATCCTGCAAAATCTTGGCATATTCATGGAAACGAAGACTGTGGGGAGCCTTCATTTAAAACAGCTTTGCTTCTATTGAGTTAAACCAGCCACCTACCATTAGCCTAAGTTTGTTTTTTTTTCCATGGATCACTGAGTACAGTGCAATTGAGAAACCAGGCAGAGTAAAGTATGTAAAAAAATATTTACCACACATCTTGGGTAACTGAATTCCAGAGGCTTACACAAAGAAGGGAATAACTGATATTTTTCAAATAGATAATACTATGCACTACATAAAATCTAGCCTGGACAGAATGGGCCATCTCAGCAATTAGGCACCTCCTACTCAGCTGTGTACTACTTTCTGCTGAAAATAGAAAGACAAAAGTTGTATCATATTAGGGCTTTTTTTTTTAACTAACCCTTTAAATTCTTGTGTATAAATTACTGTGCACAGGGTCATCTGTACACAGGACAAAAGAAAATGAGATTTCTAAAACCTAACTTCTTTAAGTCAGTTGTAAACTGATTTTATGACAGAGAGAGAGGGAGGCCTCTGGTTACATTGGCAATTGATAAGTGCAGTAAGAAAGAGAGATGGGTACCAAGTGTCACACCTAAGTGATATATTTTTTCCTTGCTCCCCCCCGTCCCCCATTTATCAGACACACTGTTTGTGTCTACACAAGACACTGACTGCATAGTTGTTACTGCACAGTCATTTAGTACATTCACATGCAAGTACTAACTGACTGCTCAGTAACTGGCATTGCTGCACAGTAGCGTTCCCAAGCAGCTTTTTGGTGATGCTGACTATGCAGTTGCTTGTCACTATTATGCAGTAGTGTCGCATCACTCTTTGTACCATGCAATGCTGTTGCGCAGTAGTAACAAGCTACAGTGCAGGCAGTGTCTCATGTAGACATGGCCTCTCAGAAGCACCCTACATTTGCTGCATTCAGAAGGAAGGCTGTTAGCTTGTAATTTTGAATTGCTACCTGAGGTTGCCATCTGCCTGTCCTTGTCCTCCTGCCCCTGCCACTTCTGCTTCTCTGTTGGATAAGGGTAACAGGTTAGGCACCTGAGGAGTACTGTGATACCCTCTGAAGGCCCCCTCATCCCTGCTAGGCTCTTTCTGTGTTCTGGGTCTCACCTTGCCTTCTTATTTGCTATGTCTTGATGAAACCTTTGTGAAAGGTAAGTTGCCCCTAGTGCTCTCTCTTTTCCTGTGGTCAGTTATCAACCTTGTATACCTTAAGGGCTTATTGCATGGCTCCAATCTTCCCTTACACCATGCCCCATGCCTTGTAGGTGTTTTGAGTCACCAGTCAGGTGGGACCCTTGTCCCTCAGTCTCCAGGCCACCTCAGGCCTTCCTTCCCTTGTTGGGGTTTCCACCCTCCTGGCTTCAGCCCCTCTGCTCTGGCTGGTCCCTTATATAAGGCCCATTGTTTTAGCCTGACTTCTGGGTCCCAGCCTTAACTCAGCCCCTTTCTGGGCTCCTGGTCCCACTTTCTTTCAGCCCCTCTCTGGGAGAAGGCCTTGGGACTGCCTCCAGCAGGACCCCAAGCTTGGAGCTCCAACAAGAATATTGACTTAAAGCCATTTGTTTGCTTAGAACCATCCCCTCTCTGTCCCAGGTAATATTCCCCTGTTCCCAGGTCTGCAGAGCAGTTTACCCTAATTCCTCGTAAAGATCTAGGAATTAGGGTAAGCCGCTCTGCAGACCTGGGAACAGGGCTCCATTCCTCATGGCTGTCAGGCTCAACTGCCTGACCATTGCAAGCTTTGGGCTTATATAGGTCAAGCCTGAGCCCTCTTCCAGTCATGTGACTCCCCTGTCAGCTGACCTGCCTACAGGACTGTTCCTTAACCCTTTCTCTGCTGGTTGCTTGTGCCTCTGCTACAAAGACCTTGCCCTTAAAGGGGGCATGCCATTTATCAATAACAGGGCCAGGGTTCCCTTTTACAATAACCATATTCCTACAACTGGAGGGGATTCTGGAGCTCTGTGCAGTTTAAGGTAACCACCCATCCCTAATTGGGTGGGACAGTCCCAGAATGGGAACATCAAGTCCCAATCCCAGGATGTATGACTCCAGGACAGTATTTGTCCCGGATTCATGGTATCCTGCAAGGGGTCCAGGTTTGGAAAGTGGCAGGTTTCCCCTTGCAGGCTGCTTGGAGCTGTCGAGAGCACAGCCAGGCAGCATGGAGAGCAGCTCCCTGCAGGTAAGTCTATGGGAGAGAGGGGACATAAGGCCCATGGGAGGGCAGATTGAGGGAGGGAGTGGCAGCAGCTGGAGATGCTGCCCAGCCAGGGTGTGCATGGAGCTTGAGGCTGGGTTGGAGAATGAGATGGAGCCACGGGAGTCTCATTCAAGGCGCAGGGGGCAGCTCCCTACCACTGCATGCACTCCCGGGGTGGGGGGGTGGGGCTTTGAGGGAGCACGTGCCCCCCCAATTTGTGCATGAGGCAAGGGCGGATACAGGCTGCCCACTGCTAGCCTTGGAGCCCCACACCATCTGCATGCCCCCTGCCCACCCAGCAGTAGTGGGGGCAATGGCAGTTTGGAGTTGTGACCCTGCTGCTGCCAAGTGGACTGGGGCACGTGGCTGGCATAGGATTCCCAGGGGAAAGGCAGCAGGGTGGGTAGCCCTGAGCCTGCAGTGGGCAACCTGCATCTGCACCCACTTCTTTTGGCTTGACTCTGCTCCAGCTATGCCCCCAACAGAGGTGAGGGGTGGGAGCAGGTGGGCATGTGTCCCACCTTTTTTTTTTTTTTTAAAGATGGTCACCCTAGTGCAGCTACACTCATTGCATTACCATTCAAACACAGGACATGAAATAAGCAGAAAAGTAAGACCCATTATGAGGAATATCCTTACAAAAGAAAGGCAGTGAAAATTTGGGGGAGAAGGTGCTGTGAACCTCTTCCCTAGCTCCAGCTCCTCCAGTACATCAGTGCTAAAGGTTCATCCCATTGTCCAGCTATCACCAATACAATGGTCACATCCAATACAATGACAAGTTCAGGCAATTGGAAAGAGGCCCCATAATATTTTTTTGCAGGGCAGAAATAGCTTTGGCTATGAACCAGAGAGGGTGTCATCACCCAGAAAGTGTTTTAGAGCTTCATCAGCATTGGTTATTGTACTAACTCTCCTCTGGAGGAATAAGTTAATTTATTGACAAGTCCTGTAATGATGAGGCATTTGACTTTTTCACACTGTTTTTATTCTGTTCATTATTTTTATTTATGATGTGTTATTTCTCCAATTGCACATATACATATAAAAGTTTTCTGGCTTTTGAGGTACTGATTTAAACCTGACTAATCTCTCTGAGTTCTCTTGGACCTGGCATGAGATTATTTTTTCCTGTTACTTACTAGCATAGAAATGTTCAGTTCCTGTGTTTAACCTATATATGAACCAAATAATTCAATTTTAATTGAGAATGAAAATGTAATGCAGTTAATTACCTACCAGACTGTGAGTTGTGCATATGTTATTCCACCTGTGATTCTTTAAAACCATACGCTTAGAGAGAGTTTTTCCTACAGTGTCCACTGCTATACAATAAATATATCCCGATAAATCTGTTTTTTAAACCATTTAATGTCCCTGCTTACTGTTGCAGAATTCCATACTACCTAGAACTGACATAATAAGCAGTGTTATACAGGGAACAGAGCTGACCTTGAATAATTAAGAGAAGAAGACTTTGATAGAGTATGTTTCTTAATATGCTGAATGAAGTGATGTTAGGCTGTTCACCTTGATTTTGTGAATGTTAAGTCAACATAAGTCCATACTAGAACCCACAGTCCAAACCACCTCAGACTTGTGGAAAATTTAAATTTGGATACAGATTCAGGATCTGAAACTTTTGTATGTTCTATGTTTATAAAGGTATGAACTAGATCTTTCCTTTTACCCACATGTACAGAACTGTGGTAGTTTAGTTCCAGATTTGAACTTTACATCTCAGATGTGCCAGATCTAAAACCAGATCTAAGACACAATCAATTGAGTTCATGAACTTGCAGATCCTGATGCCAATGTAAAGTAGATATGAGTTGCCAAATACTGAGCTGATTTAAACACAGCTGCAGATAACTATACATTGTATGGAGATGTAAGAGTTCCAAAGTTATCACAGTTTTATCTGGAAAAATATCATGCAAAGTAATTCATCCAAACTCAATAAAGCTGGAAAAACACCCTAGAAGTTTAAAGATGAAATCATGGCAGAACAGAAGCATATGAGATGAATGACTAAGTTTCAAAATCTCCAAGAGTTTTCAAAATCTGCACCTCTAAGACATCCGTCCTTTGTTAACAACATTAAATGACTTATAAAATTGAGAAAAATAAAGAACACTTTAAAATTTTTAATTATTTTATATTTCTAAATTAGGTCCTGCCAATAGTGATTTTCTTCAGCACTGTGATGTCTATGCTTTACCACGTTGGATTCATGCAATGGCTCATTAAAAAGGTACCAAAGCCTTGAATTTTGTCAACAGTTTTTTATATAAGCTAGACAGGTATTATATAAATGTAGTGCACAGAGGGTTAAATTGTAGCTTTTGGGGATAGCTGCTGCCTGGAGAGTGAGGGAGCAGGGCCTGGGTTCTAGCCTGGAGCTTTGCTTCCAGTGAGACAGAAACTTACCCTCTGCACTGTCCTCCATCCATTTTTTCCAGTGTTTATTACATTCAAGGGGCAGGGGTCAGCTTCAAGAAGAGTACTGCAGAAGAGGGTGGGTAATACCTAGTGGCACGATGGTTAGAGAACTATTCTGGAAAGTCAGACAGATGCAGATTCAAAGCCTGTCTAAGTAAGGGAAGCTTAGATTGTAGCTTTCCAGGTTCCCAGGCAAGTACCTTAACCACACTCCTATTGAAGCTAAAACAGGCGAGGATCCTTTCCTATTTTGTTTCCAGGACTTGCATTTTGGTACATGTGTATTTAGTTGTCTATGTACACAGCATTACACATTCAGAAAATGGGATCCCACCTAAGTGCCAAAAAATGTCCCTTATGCAACTAAGAAAACTGCCAGTCAGATGGCCAAAAGGAAGTAGAATTCCATCCCAAGACAAAAGTATGGTGAAAGCCCAGGCAACAAAAGGCATGTGTTCAATTTCTCCAGATATTAGGGGTGTGCAAAATGGGCCGTATTCGATTCGGATTTGGATTCAGCTCAAATCAGGGACAGTGATCAGATTCGTTGATTCAGATCACTGTCCCTATTTTATTTGGCCGAATCCGAAGATTCAATGCGATTCGGAGAATGAGCAATTCGGCCGTAGACACAGCTTTAAATGTTTTCTCTACATACCTTGAGGTACCAGGTGTGGCTCATGAATGCTGCAATGGTGGGGCAGATGGAGCATCCCACAGGAGCGTGGGGGGGTCCCCGCGTGCTCAGTGGCGAACCCAGAAGTGGACCGGAAGTACTACCAGTCCACTTCCAGGTCCACCACCAAGCGCATGGGGGACCCCCGCACTGCCCGTCCTCCAGCTCAACAATCAGCCATGGGGGGAACCCAGGTGCCCCCCCAGACCCAGGAGGCACCAGTCGCTGAGCTGGGGAGTGGGGCACACTCCACAGTGGGCCCAGAAGTGGACCGGAAGTGCTTCTGGTCCACTTCTGGGTCCACTGCTGAGCACCCTGAGGACACCCTGTGCTCCTGTGGGATGCTTCATCCTCCCCAGTAACTCAGCATTCACAAGCCACCTGGTACCTTGAGGTATGTAGAAAAAACATTTAAAGCTGTGTCTATGTCTGAATCATCGAATCTTTCCAAATCTCTCTGAATCGATTTGAAGGGTTCCAATTCAATTTGGAGAGATTAAAGGGTCTCCTGATTTGATTTAGATTTGGAGATTCGGGCCAAGTCTCTGCCAAATTAAATCAGCGACTGAAGCTTTGCACAGCCCTACCAGATATATGAGTTATTATTGGACCTCCTCAAAAAGCCATATAATCTACCAACATCCCTATTAATATTAGCATAATAAGACTGATGGTATGCAGTTACTTGGAGCTAGTAAAACAGTAAGAATTGTTACTTTTGTATCCTGCCCAAATTGTTAGGCCCTTAGAGATGTATATAAGTAAAAGATAGGTCTCATAGCTAACTTGAAAGTAATCTTTCTCAGTAGCTTAGTCCTGACAAGACCATGAAATATTTGTGGTATTTCAAGTACTGCTGCTTTTGCTGAAACTTTTAAACACTTCAATTAATCAGGCATATTTTTCTGTCCAGTCATTGTTAAGGTAATTCTTAAGTTAAGAAATCTCTGTCTTAAGGGAAACCACTTAATTTAAAATCTTGGTATTACCAAATGATTCTTGTCTATCTTTTGAGAAACAGGTCACCTCTGACACTTTACCACCCCACATCAAACATACCCAGTTAGTTTCTATCTTCATATTTTAGTAGCCAGCCATTCTGTTCCAAAGACTTCCAAATGCTGGGTCTTTATCACACCTACCGTATTATCCCATAAATGAAACATGTGAGTTACTTTTTCAGGAGAGGTCAAGTGATTTCTGGCTAGTACTTGTATGTTAGTGTTACCCATGCACATGGGCAGATCTAGGATTTTGAAAAAGGTGAGATGAGATGCATCATCACATATAACACAACACATTTTTCTCGCAGTAAAAAGAAACTAGAAGCATTACTAATATGCTAGGGGCCTAGGGCTATAGTATTCAGTTTAAAATTGATGCAAAAACAAATATAACTTTATTGGAATAAGTTAAAAACAGTCTCTGGTACTGTGACATAGGAGCTACATTACAAGGAGAAGCTAATAGAGAACAGAATTGCAGAAGAAAGACTAGCTTGATTAGTGGAACATCAAAACCATTAAAAAAGAAAGAGGCTCATTAACCCCGGTGGAATGAAGATTTTAGAAGAAATCAGGTAGCTTTTAATGAGCCATGAAGTCAGTTGACTCCCTTACTGATGCCTGGATAAGAATGCTGCTGCCATTGCCACGTAGTTGGTTTTAACCTTTGGGTGGACCGGGAATCAAAGGAGAGTGCAGCTGCACCAGTACACCACCCCTGGATCTACCCCTGGTGTTACCTGTTCCACTCTATACCTGTTAAACACCAGATATGCATCTGTTACAGCTCACAGTTACAGTTTGGCTCCATAGTGTAAATACTTAAGTCTTTGGTTCTAGTGGATAACGGCTTCTGTCATCCAATTACATAATCAATCTCTTTCATTGACTGTCCAGTGAGCTCATCATATGAAGAATACAGTTTTTGAACACTGGTAATTGAAGGTTAACTGATGGAACCTTACAAACCACACTTTTTCCTTCTTATTCATTTTCCTTTCAGACAGCAGCTGAGTTTGTTTGGAATCAATCTGGGAAATTTATTTGCCTTTATATAAACTCGATTTGTTTCAGTGGAGCCATCAAAGTTCATATACTCCCTTGGAATTGTAGCTAATCAGTAGACATGTCAAAATATCTGCTTTGATGATGACATTTGAACAAGTAGGTTTCCAGGCCAATGATAGCAAGAGCTTTCAGCATTATCCATGCAATTTGCTAAAGTATTCCTTCACTGGATTCTTTTTGTAGCTACTGTTGAGTATTTTCACTATAGCTTGAAGGTGAAAGTTACATGATCACTAACTCATGAAATATCATAACCTTTGCTCTGAGTTCTTCACATTCACATAAAGGGTGTGGAATAGTTAAATAGACATACAGACAAGAATTTTCTCCGTTATTACTCAATAGCTTATCATTTTCAGGTTGGTTGGATTATGCAAATTACCATGGGGACATCTCCTGTTGAATCCCTAGTAGCAGCTGGCAACATATTTGTGGGGCAGGTGAGTTACAAAATAGATAATACACAAATACCCTTAGGTTGGGCACAGATTCATTGGACACCAAAAAATGAAATTAAACCAGAAAGTTGAACAAGTTTTGTGTATGAAGGTAGCACTCTAATGTACCAGCTCAGGTGGCTGGTGTTCAGGAAGCCAGAATTGCATGAGACTTACAAGTCAACAGTAACACACAATAAACCATGGCTATACTGAGTTCACACATGAACCTCTAGTATAAACCAGGGGGACCTGCCTCCTTAAAAGGAGAGTGAAACTGGTGCAAAAATAGAAAGCAAGCAATAAAAGAACATTTAGAGAAAAGAGAAAAATAAGGCAACGGGTGGTGTGTGCAAGGATCCAGCCCAGAGGAACAAAGGAAAGTGCCCATCTGCCAATCCATTGCAGTGGGGGTCCTAGTAAAAGAGAACAAGCAAGCAAGACATGATCTCCAGCCAGCTGCAGAGGGGGCCCGACTGGAGGCATAACTAATAAATTTTGCATGCTGGGCAAAACTCCCCTGTACCTTGTGCAGGGGAAAGTGCCCAGCACCAGAGAGCAGGGGAAAGGAGAGTGGTCAGTCTTATCTGACTCAGGGACTCAAAGACCCTAGCTGCTGCTGCTCTGTCTCCACACTCTGCTCCTAAGAGTCCTGTGGTGCAAGGCTGTTCCTGCCATTAACCAGAAAGCCACAGCACCCTGGGGTCCCTTGAGATCCTTTCAAGGGTGCTACTTAGTGCCATGCAATGTGATTACTGTTAGGTGCGCAGATCCCTGCACATGATAAACACAGATATTTCAAATAGGAATCCATTCTCTTAAAAACATTGTGACCCATTGGGTCTCTCTGACAGAAGAACTGCTCTATTATTTTTCTGTAGTCAAAAATGAGTGAAAACAAAGAGGTGGCATTTTCTGAGGGGGGTCTTGTGCCTAAAAGGTTGAGAACTAGTAGTTAAAAAAAAAAACACCAGACACAATGCTAAAATAAGGAGCATGAGGGTTTGTCCAGAAATTACTCTTTTGATTGTCACTTTTCTTTTCCAGACAGAGTCCCCCCTTCTGGTGCGGCCCTATTTACCACATGTCACCAAGTCAGAGCTGCATTCGATCATGACTGCAGGGTTCTCCACCATTGCTGGGAGCGTCTTAGGAGCTTACATTTCGTTTGGGGTAAAGCCAGAAGTAATACATCATGAAAGTGCACTGTGTGTTCTGTTCCATTTCAAGGAATTGCCCATAAGGAAGCAAAGAAGAAAGAAATGTCAAAGCTGCAACTGAAGGAAACAGCCTGCCAACATCAGTAGTGTTTGCAGGCTGTCTGTGTATGGGGGCTGGCTCACACCCTCCCTTCTCTGCTGCTCCCACAGCTTCTGCCTGCAGGAGTTGCTGCTTCTGGAGCTGACTTCCCCTTCAATAGCGCTGCTTTTCTTTTCCTTGCCAACATGGGCACTTGGGGCTTGGCACCCCTTAGGCTGGGGGCAGTGGTTAACCCCAGGGAGTGCACGGGCAGTCTCCTCTACACCTTTCACCATTTTGTATTCCTCTGTCAGATCCCTGCTTATTTTTCTCCATCCCATATAAAACAAGATTAGTCTTTTTAATCATTCCGTGCAGGAGAAACCCTTCCAGCATCTCACAATGCTCTCTGGAAGTTTTTCCTCCTCTGTTCTTTTGATCTGAAGTGAACAAAGCTTAATTCCTGTCATCTGGAATTCCAGATTTCAGCCTCCCACCTCCTAACAGCTTCTGTGATGTCAGCACCAGCATCGCTGGCTATTTCCAAACTCTTCTGGCCTGAGACTGAAACACCCAAGGTTACTCTGAAGAGTGGCATAAAAATGGAGAAAGGGTAAGTACAGGATAATAAAACTAGCTGGATAGTAGAGACACCGGTATAAATAAGCACTCAGATATTATACCAGGGGTTGGCAACGTTTTTGGGCACAGTGCCAAAAAACCTTGAAACCTCTACTTGTAAGATGTTGGTGTGCCAGTAGTGGATGGCAGGGGAACCACGAGCCTGGGTTGTCCAGAGCCGAGGCTGGCTGCGGCATGCCGAAATGGCTTCATGTGCCACACTCTGGCACATGCCTGGGGTTGCTGACCACTGTATTGTACTGAAAATGTGGTATAATTACTGCATTCATTTTGGATATTAAATTAAGTACGCATCAAGAATGCCCAAAGCAAATAGTTGGATGGCAAACACACAGATATATTTGTATGGATGTGCATTTCCCAATGTCATTTTCACAGACTCAGAATTGCAAGGTCCTAGGCATTATAGTAAATTCTCCAATGAGATTCACTGCCTGATACAGTTCTACAGGATGCTTTTCTGTTTGTTGTTGCCTTGTTTTGCTCTGAAGCACTTACTAACTGCTTGTAAGCAAGAGCAAAGGCAGTTGGATTATTTTAGCTACCGCATCTGAAAAGTACAAGCACCAAGTCCTCTATCAAGAAAGTCCCTGCACAGGTATACGTTTAAGAAGTCTAAACTCCTGTGCTTGCTAACAATAACATAGTAATGGGCGAGCCTCACACTTCCCCCTTCTAGCATCTCTGCAGGCACTGTAGGGTCAGAACATTTCAGTGCCCACTGAAGCCAGTGGAAAGACTCCTGTTGACTTCAGTAGGCACTGACCAGGGGCGCTGGACCAGGGGCAGCATGAGGTGAATGCCATTCCAGAAGACATATCGTAAGATCCCCTGGGAGGAATTCTGAAGCACAATTCAGAGTTTCTCTTAGGGGTTTCATGCACCATGCATGGCCTTGCTCTCTGTCAAATGCAGCTGAGAGCATCTAGGGTAAAAATGTACTGATTTGGAACATAATCTTATCAGTGCCTGTTCGGGTGATTTAATGTATATACGTTTAACGTTTATAGCCAACTATTGTGTAACTTTTACTGTCTTTGGACTTGTCTATGAACTGGAAATTGTCTCTTAATTTTTCCAATTCTGTTCTTGCTTTTGTTTGTAAAGAGACTCAAAAAACTTGCTGGAAGCTGCCAGCCAAGGTGCCACTGCCTCGATTCCTTTGGTGGCAAACATCGCTGTGAACTTGATTGCCTTCCTTGCTCTGCTGGCTTTTGTTGACTCAGCGCTGTCTTGGTTGGGGAATATGTTTGACTACCCACAGTTAAGTTTTGAGGTATTGTCCTTACTATATTGAATCCTCTCTCTTTAATCTGCATAGCTTTTGCTTACATAGGGAAAATGAGATGCGTCAGAAATTATTTTAATTGATTTTTTAAATAGTAAAGCTATTTGTTAAAAACGAATATGTTAGCTGGGATTGTGAATTTCAAGTAAGTGCTTATACTGGAACCATTTAACTAGGGTAACAGCTGGGCTAAACAAGACTGTCTGGGACTTGAACTGGAGTAGATGTAATTATTTTATTTAGTTTGGTTACTAAATTTTTAAATAAATGCTTGCACAAGCTGACTCTATGCAGACAGATGGGTATAAAGGTGCCTTACACAGTTTCAATTTATTCTTCTTCCCAGGCAGAAATAAGTCGCAGAGCTATAAGTACTTCTGCACCAGTCTCAGTGTACCCATGCCAATTGAGAGAGTCCTGCTTTAATTACACCAGTAAAATTAAACCCGAACAGCTGACAAACCTTTTGGGTACATTTCTCAGTGCTCAACCTCTTAATAAAAATATGTTAGTTAACGCACTTCATTTTCTCAGTATAGCTACACTGGATTTGATCAGCTGAGAAACTGGCCCTTATCAGTTTCTTGAGCACCCCAATCTTAAGTCACAGTCTAACAAAGCATTTAAGACTGTGCTTAATTTTAGGAATAAAATTAAAGGCATGCTGAACTACTTTCCTGCCTGTATATGTTTTGGGAGGTGGGGCGAGGGGGAGTGTTTTAATTAGAGCAGTTTCCGGGCAGCCGCTCTAATTAGAATGCCACAGCATCATGTGTATTAAGCTCCCATGACTTTAAAAATGGCAGTAGGATGCTTTATCTAAACCTCATTCTATGAGGTTTAAAATGTGCAGGGGCTTAATATACACAAAGATAATATACACTAATTAGAACACAAAGAAGGCTCAGTTAATCAAGTCTGCTCCAACACGGTCCAATTAGAATGCAAAGGAGCACGTGTATAAGCACCCACAGCTTGTACTTTTACAATCACATACATCTGACCCCTGAAATGCCCCTAGATGTTGGGGAGATGGCAATAAGGCCTATTTATGTACACTTTAAATGATTCTGGTTGCTTTTAGAGAACCCATCAGACTCCTGTATTCTCCTATCAATCTTTTCTTGTGATTTAGTAGTATTTGTTCTTTCCCACCTATTCCTCCCTTCTGTCTTATCTGTTTTACAGGTCATTTGTGCCTATGTCTTCATGCCATTTTCTTTTATGATGGGAGTAGACTGGGAAGACAGTTTTATTGTTGGTGGTCTCCTTGGTTACAAGACATTCTTCAATGAATTTGTGGCTTATGAACACCTTTCTGAATTGATTCACAAGAGAGAGAAAGGTGGGCCAGTGTACATGGATGGTGTGAAGCAATATATGACTGTGAGTAACATTTTACATTCTACTCATTTGCTGGGCCTAGGTCTCCCCCGTTGGAGCTCCATGGATTTTAATGGAGTCCAATGGCATAAATATGGCCCATTATTTTTATATTTTCTCTTGTATTCATCTTGTCCTAATCTGTCAGCAGCAGAGTCTAAATGCCCAAGTGTATCCTCTTCCATCCTCTATGATGGTCTTTCAGATTTGCCAGCTGACAGCATATTAGATCTCACAAGCAAAGTAGGGCCTGGTCAGTTCTCAGATAGTTGAACATGATAAAGTGGTGATGGAGTCTAAAACTATGTGTACACCACATTGCTAACCTGGGCCTTTACCCAAGTTTTACCCAACCTGGGCACAAAAACAGAGATATCAACCCAAATAGCCTGACCAAGAGGAAGAGATGGTTCAAGATCTTGGGGTGAACCTGAAAGTGTTCAGAATTTTATCTGAGGTCAGTCAGCCTTGGAACTTTGAAAGATGAATCCAACATGCTTATCATTCACCAACATACTTATCATTTATCTTATCATTAAACAATTTGGCATTGGAGATCTACTTTCTTTTTCAAGTGTACATGGGGAGCCAAATTCATTTGCAAAGACCTAGGAGATCCTCAGATTACAAAAAAACAGTAATCCCACAAAGGACTCATATGGGGATTTGCCAGTAGCAATTTTGATTATGAGATGATGGCCCAACTGAGAGAAGGGGATTTCAGGTTTTCATTTTTAGTTTCTTTTCAGCCTGAGAGCCTTCTAATATATCTTAAGACATATATGCACTGAGAGAAGGAGGGAGCGAGTGGTCTGCTGTGCCCACTCTCACAGTCTATAATAACAAGGCTTCCTGTTTTTTGAACTGGAAGAATACAAGTGAAGGCAGGGAAATCGCAGGACACAAAGCCATTTCCAGGAAAAGCAGATAGAGTGGGTACTTGAAAAGCATGCGCCTGCATATGTGCAGAATGATTGAAAATATCTACAAATTGGTTCTCAGAAAAAAGGAATGGAAACAAAGGAGCGTCGAATCAACAGAAAACCTTCTGGAACACTCAGTGGACTTTGGCGTGGGTGTAAAATATAACTAATGGAGAAAAAGGTTGTGATGGAGCAAAACTACCATCTGTAAAGAGATGTTCACTGCTTTCCCATACCTTTGAATCAAGTTGGTTTATTAGAGGACTATAGCCCAGTTTCACTCCAGGGAAACCAATATATAAATAAAAAAGGGCTCTTGTCAGAATGGCAGCAAGTGGTCAAGCAGTTCAAGGCTTTGTCATTAAAAAGTCTCCTGGGGAGATGGAATTCAATCCAAACCTTTTCCAGTCCAGAAGAGAGTGGCAGAGGTTGGGAAGAGCACATAACCCTAAAGGTGGACTTAGGAATTTTGGTGTTCTGGGCAGAAATATGCAAGACCAAGTTGGGACAAGGGGAGAGAGTCCTCCGTGCCATCTGACCACCCAAAAGACTTGTAAAGGGCATTTTGTAAATGCCAGGCATCATACTAGAAATTCCTCCCTTCTGTGCCCCAGCACTGAAATGGGATAGTTAGACATTGGTTGAGTGTATGTAAGATCAGGGAACAAGCACTAGAGAAAGGAAGCAGAACTTGATGGTTTTGCATAGATTTACTGTTCAGAGCTAAACTAGTCAACTACAGGTTAGTCTGACTCCCCTTAGCTTGCTAATACCTTAAAAAATTACCACTAGTAAAATAAGGACTATGATTGGGGAAAGGAGTAAGTGTCTTGTCGAAGACTACCAGATGAGTTGGTGACAGACCAACTTCAGGAGCTAGCTCCTGGCTCTCAGGAAATTAAATAAACCTCCCATTAATTAAACCTCTATTTAATCCACTTGACCAAGGAGCATTTTTTTATCACATACCTATCACAGGAGTCAGCAGTAAATGGATAATGCTCTGAAACAACCCTGCCTTTTGAAACTGATGAACAAGTTTATAATTTCTACCCTGCCTGAAGTATGTGTGTGTGTTTGTGTTTTTTAGATCCGTTCTGAAACCATTGCCACCTATGCCCTCTGTGGGTTTGCAAACTTTGGCTCTCTGGGACTGGTAATCGGAGGACTCAGTAAGGACAATACAGATTTCTCTTTTTAACAGTTCATTTGGCAAGTACAGTCCAAAGAAAATACTCTTAAGAGATGTGTTCTGGATGAACCTCACAAATAACCATGGCCCAGGCCCTTGGCAGCATTGCTGCTCCTGCAGGATAAAGCTGCTCTCAACTTGACTGAATCAGTCACTAGGACTAGGGACAGACATTCAAAAAGCCTGAGCCTGAATTGATTCGATCTTTACAGGTTAGTCTAACCTGGCTAGGCTAAATCAGTTTTGTACCCAGACAGACAACCCAGATATGCCTGCATATGTCTGCAGTAGCTCAGGCTGGAAGATGGAGGGGGGGCGGTGGCACTAGAGCAACCCTCCCTTTGCTTCCACAGGCTGAGCTGAGGGAGGCATAGCCAGGGCCCAGCAGGACTCTCTGATTATTCTCCTCCCTCCTAAGCAGCCCAGCAGGGAATGTTTACCACCTCTAACTCACTGTTTATCAACCCATTAAGAAAACAAAGGCTGTCTCCATTAACTAATGGAGCTCTTCTTAAACAGCTCATGGAAACAAAGGGGCATTTGTTAGCTCCAAAGAAGGACATTAGACTACCTGTTGATTAGCTCCAAAAAGCCTGTCTGCCTGTTGTCACCCACAGCACGGACCGTAGCCAGCACGTGGTTTGCTAGCTAATGCTAAAGTGTCTGCATAAGGCAGAGGGGAGGCGGGAATAATCCCTGCTTAGCAGGGAGAAGCCAGGCAGATGCTCTGTGCCTGCAAGTCTCTGCCAGAGCTGCAGCCAGGGAGCAGAGGGGAGGGGCCAGCCCTGCTGTGGAGCAGAGAGCCCCACCCAGCCCAGAGAGCATGGTGGGGTGCTGGGGATGTCTGGTTTATCTTAAACCAGCAAGGGGTCTGGGACAGACATTGCATAGACCTATTTGAGCCAAATCAGTTAAGTCTGATACTACATTCTACCGGGTTTATCTTAAACCAGTTTCAGCCATTTTCAAACTGGTTTATGTGCACTGAACATCTGTTCTGTTACAGGTTTAAACCAGTTTCTGATCACTTAAACTGGTTTATGTGTAATGTCTGTCCCTAGCCTGGCAAGCTCCCCTGGTATAGCATGAGCATTGGTTGTGGTTAAGCTGGTATAGAAGTGCCTAAGCTCTATTCATAAAGCTAATGCACTCATATAGCAGAGAATGTGGCCAAGTGTAGGGCCATGTAGCCATAGCATTCTTACCCCTCAGCAGTCCGCTACAGCCTTACCACCCCTTTGAGGCCTTTGGCAGCTAGTGGAGTAGCCCTTCTCTTTGGGGAAAAAAAATAAAAACAATTTTAATTGATTTCCTTGTGTTCCTGTTAGCATTCCGGAAACTATTCATTTGTCTACTAGGGAGCTGCCACACATGCAAAACAAACTGTTCTCTAAGGGAATAGTAAATGAACATTATAAATCAGGATGTATGTATTAAGGCTTCTACCTAATTCCCCAAAGGTTGGCTACATACTCCAGAAGAGTTCTGAGTCAGCTCTGCTGTGATCTGATGTGACCTCAGTCTGATACAAGGGGAA